CCTCCTCTTCCTGTAGGGGGCGTGTCCTCTCCCTCTTCTGGTGGGGGCCTGTCCTCTTCCTGTAGGGGGCGTCTCCTGTCCCTCTTCTGGTGGGGGCGTGTCCTCTCCCTCTTCTTCTGGCGGGGGCGTGTCCTCTTCTGTTCCAGTGAGGGTTGGGCTGGGCTTGTGGGGTCGTGGAGTTGGGGGGAGTGGTGGCGGCAGGGACACTGGCTGGGCAGAAGCTGAAGGCCCAGGGACACAAGTGCAGAAGGCATTTTCAGACATTACCTCACTGAATCCTGACCATCCTATGAGGTGGGGATTCTCGGCAATCCCATCTGACAGGTAAGGAAATTGAGGCTTATAGACCCTGGGGCTTGATTCTTAATCCTGGCTGCACATTAGAGTTCTTTCATTTACTCATCAGAGATTTACTGAGCACCTACTGTGTGCCAGGCATTGCAGAAGGTCCTGGCAACAAAGCAGAAAGAGATAGTCTGTGCCATCCGGATGCTTCTATTCCCATGGGGGAGAAAGGCAATCAGTGAGCTGATGATGGAGAGTGCTAGAAGGGGATAAAAAAGGTTAAGAGGGAAGTGGATGCAAAAGAACAAATAGTGAGTGATTCTACTTATAGGAGGTACCTAGAAAGGGCAAATTCATAGAGAGGAAACAGACCAGATATTGCCAGGGGCTCCACAACTGGACAGTGGAGAGCTAATGTTTAACGGATACAAGTTCCCAGTTTGGGAGAGATGAAGATTCCAGACGTGGACAGTGGTGATGGGTGCACAGCATTGTGAATGTACTGAACGCCACTGAACTATACCTTCATTAATAGCTAAAATGATCAATTTTATGTTATACATATTTGGGTACAATAAAAAAAGTTCTAATTTAGCAACAACTAAAGGAGCGGAGGCTGGTAGGTCACGCCTCCCTGGAGGCAGGTGACACGTGGAAGAAATAGCTGACAGAGGAAGCCGTGTGGATATCTGAGGAAGGGCAATCCAGGAAGAAGGTATAGCAAGTGCAAAGGCCCTGAGGCAGGAACGCGGCTGCCATGTTTGGGGACAGCAAGGATCCCGGTGTGCCTGGAACAGAGAGACCTAGGGAGAAGGTAGGAAGAGGTGACTACTGCCTGGAGGGACGGGAGCTCTTAAAACATACCTACATACCCAGGCCCCACCCCAAACCAATTGAAACGAAGTCTGTGGGAGTGGGGCTTTGGTGCCAGCATTGTTGAAAGGCTCCCCGTGAACTTTAATGCACAGCCAAAGGATGAGAATCACCTCTGTTAGTTCCCAGAGAAAAAAGGTGCTTTACCTTGGACTTGAACTCACGCCAGTCCAACCCAGAGCCAAGTGCTCGGCCTCCCTGGGGGTGGTATTAGTGTCCAGGACTGGGTGCCCAGGTCCCTGATGCCCCCTCTCTGTTCTCAGGAGTGCCACCGGGGAGGCTTGGCACAACATCATGCTTTCCTGCCTCAGTGGGAAGCCGTGTGATAAGAACTCTGGCATCCTGACTCCCGAGTGTGGCAATGAATTTGCTTACTTCTACTTCGTTTCCTTCATCTTCCTGTGCTCGTTTCTGGTGAGTCTGTGGACATGTGAGGGTGGGCTTCCTCACCTGGCTCCCACTCAGGGGCACGGATTTCTCTGGAATATGGCTGTGTGACAGATTTGCCCCCTCCGAAGCGTCTCTGAGCCAGCTGGGGATTAGGTTCACCGGGGTTTCTCGACGTCAGCACCGTCGACACTTGGGGCTGGCTCACTCTATGTCCTGTGTGCTGCAGGGTGTTTAGCAGCATCCCTGGTCTCCACCCCGGTCTCCTACCAGCTGTTGATCAGCAAATGTGCCTTCAGACATTGACAGTGTTCCCAGGGATAGAGGGGAAGGGCAGAATCTCCCCCACCCGAGACCTGCTGGGTTATACCGAGGGAAAGCCTAGTGGTGCTGAGAGCTGGTCCCCCCGCCAGTCTAGTTACACAGGATGCTAGTTATGTTCTCCCCTCTCCCTGGAGCAGTGAGAAGAACAGAAACCATCTAGGTATTAGGTGTCTTCAGTGGAGGAGATTTGATACAGGGATTGGCTACATGGGGTTGAAAGAGAAATAGAAAACCTCGAAGCCACCAAGAATTACTGGCTGTGGGAGGCAAGGTCTGGGGAATTAAAAGGACAAGAGGGTGTACTGACCCACCCCGCTGCCCCTGGCACCGCTGAGGGGGTGCCAGCACCGTGGTTGTCCGTTGCCCCTAGACCGTTGCAGACGGTGATGGTTTCCTGCGGCTGCTGTGAAAAAGGACACAAACTGGTGGCAACAGAGATTGATCCTCCCACAGTTCTGGAGGCTAAAACCGACCAAGGCGTTGGCAGGGCCCTGCCCCTTCCAAAGGCTCTAGGGGAGAATCCTTCCCGGCCTCTTCTAGCTTCTGGTGGCCCCACGCGGCCCTTGGCGTGTGGCCACATCCCTCCAGTCTCTGCCTCTGCCTTTGCATGGCCTCTCCCCTGTGCGTGTGCGTCCAGATTTCTCTCTTTTGGGGGACAGAAGTCAGATGGGATCAAGGGCCCGCCCCGATCCCGTATGACCTGTTCCTAACTTGACGACATCGCAAAAACCCTTTTCCCAAATAAGATTACACTCACAGCTCCCAGGGCTTAGGATTTGAACATGTCTTTTGAGGGGGACACAGTTCAACCCACAATATAGGAAAAGGAGTCCCTTCTCCTGTCCTTCCCGGTCTGGTTTCCTGACTGTGGCTCCCACTGGCGGGATATAAGAAGCCAGCTGCTGAGGGAGTGTAGACGTGTGCAGACCCCAGCCAGACGCCAGCGTCTGTCAGCAGAAGCCCAGCACCCTCTCCTCTTCACACCAGTGGCCTCACACAGAGAGATTTGCAGCCTCTATCTCCCAGCATCTACAGCTGCTGACCCGGAGGGTCCATTGTCCAGTTCCAAATTCCCAGAAGAGTCTGAAAGGGCCAGCCCGGTCTCTGGTCAAATGGCCACCCTTGTCCAAGCAGCTATGGGTACCTGTGGGGACGAGATCTTATAATACAGCCCATCTTGGAAGGGCAGGCCCCTAGAGGACATCTACACTTGACCATCAGCCCCCCAAGGGCAGGGATCTCTTTTTTGTTCACTGCCAGATCCCCAGCACCTAGGACAGCAACTGGTGCACAGCAGGTGCTCAATCGATATCACGAAGCTGCGTTAAAAATTGAGCGACTGAAGTTAAGGACAGCGAGGATTATGAGTTATTTGTTAAGCACCTACTATGTTTACGTCTCAACATTTGTTTAATACCTACTACATGCCAGGCACCGGGGTACAAGGGCAGACCGTGGTTCTCTCAGTCTGCAGGGGTGATAGGCAGACAGGTCGGCAGGTAATAGCAGTGTGGTCTGATATGTGCTGTGATGGGGGAGACTCAGACTGAGGAAAGAAAGATTTCAAAGAGTGGCCTGCAGGAACGATGAGCAGGCGCTAGAACCCGTTTTAATCAAATTGGTTGCAAGCCGCAGAAATTTAACTGAAGGGGCGCCTGGGTGGCGCAGTCGGTTAAGCGTCCGACTTCAGCCAGGTCACGATCTCGCGGTCCATGAGTTCGAGCCCCGCGTCAGGTTCTGGGCTGATGGCTCAGAGCCTGGAGCCTGTTTCCGATTCTGTGTCTCCCTCTCTCTCTGCCCCTCCCCCGTTCATGCTCTGTCTCTCTCTGTCCCAAAAATAAATAAAAAAAAAAAAAGTTGAGAAATTTAACTGAAGTAAGCAGCATATACAGTTCACCGACTTGTGTAACTGAACGGTCAGGCGAGGCTGGAGCCAGACAAGCGGACTCCATCCTCTTTGCTCTTCTCCACACTGGCTCCATTCTCAGACTTTCCCCTTGTGGAGGCAAAATGGCGGCCGGAGCGTCAGCACAAATCCCAGGGAAGGCTCTCATTGGCCACCTTGGGTCACGTGCCGCCCCCCCCCCCCCGCAACCAATCACAGATCTGGGTTACATGACTGCTGCCTGTGGAGCCATAAAGTGGGGATTGGCCACGCCCAGCTACAGCCTCTTAAGGATAAAGGAGGGAGTTCCCCCAGATGCTGCTACCCATAGAGAGACAGATCGTGATGTTCCCTAAAGGAGCAACATTTGCAAAGACTTAGAGGCAAGATGACGCAAGACCCCCACGTGCTAAGGGCTAAAAGAATATGTGAAAAGGTGGCACCGGATGCAGACGGGGGCAGGAAAATTCACCCATTCATCCATCCATCCATCCATCCATCCATCCATCCATCCACCCAAGAAATATTTGCTTACTGTGGGCTGGGACTGGGAATACAGCCTGCAAGAAGCACTCGCTTTGGCCTTGTTGGGGGCCAGGTGTGGGAAGATTTGGGGCCATGGCGGTCCCTTGGGGTTGGCCCCCATTTCACATAGCCTCTCCCCCCTCTCTCTCCAACTCTCTTTGTCCATCAACGTTGGTCTTTGTCTCTTTGTATTTCTCTCTGTCTCCACCTCTGTCTCTCTCTGTCCCGTCTCCATATTGCCATCTGTTTCTGGACTCCTTGTGTGAGTCTGTCCGTGCCTTTCCTCCCCCCCCCACCCCCCTCCTTCTGTTTCGCCGTCTCCCTTTCCCCATCTCACCTCTCTCCCTCTCTCTCTCTCTCTCTGGGCCTCTGTGTCTGTGTGTTTGGGTCTGTCTCGCCCTCCCCCACTCCTTCTTGGCCCCCGGGGTCCCCACAGATGCTGAACCTCTTTGTCGCTGTCATCATGGACAACTTTGAGTACCTCACCCGAGATTCCTCCATCCTGGGCCCCCACCACCTGGATGAGTACGTGCGTGTCTGGGCCGAGTACGACCCCGCAGCGTGGTAAGGAGTCACCCAAGTCCTTCAGCCACATTGCCCGCCTTTCTCTGGCACCAAAGCATCCTAGGCTAGGCCAGGGCCCAGACTTTGGGGCACTGGGTCCCTAGGGAGCTCGCAGGGACCTCAGAGGGGTCAGCCTGGAGGAAAGAGATGAGAATCAGTGCCCTCCCACACCACAGGTGAATTGGTCGGGTACACCCCTGCCCGAGGCCCAGGCTTTCTGGGAGATGAGGAAAGGGATCGAGCATTGAGGATTTTGAGAATTTTGCCTCCCGTGAATCTCCCCTGCCCCTGCCTGAGAGGCCTCCGGATGATGAGGACAAGCAAGCCAGGGAGGAAGCCAGAGGCCTCTCAGCCTCTGCTCTACTGGGAGCTGTGGGAAAGGGGCCGGCCTGGCTCCCTGGGCACCTGGGCTTGGCCGTGAGTTTGGAGTCGTGCTGGTACAAGTGATCACACAAATCACGGTCGCAAGGGGCGCGAGCTCTCCTACTCTTAGGCACCCGAGTGCTCCCTCCTGACTGATAGGTGGTGGCTCCAGAGGGTTGTCTCCACCCAGTGCGTGCATGGAACAGCGTGACGCCTTGCGGGACGCTCAGAGGAGCAATCCTGAGCCTCAGAACCCACCCACCACTAACCGGGGAGTCTAGTTCAGACTGGGCTTGGGGCCTGAGAAGGCGTTAATGGGGGCCCTCAGCAGTGTGGGTGCTGGAGGGGAGGCCTCAGGAGGAAGGTGGGGAGGAGTAGGGAGGAGTCTATCTTTGCCCTTCCTGTAGCCCCAGACAAGCCCTCCGTGAGACCGAGAGCCCGGGGTGAGCCACGGGTCTGGGGCTTGACTTTTGGCTGGTTCCTAACTCTTCCTCTTTTGATTTTAGGTCACAGCAGTTGGATGCTGTCCCCTTGTTCTCTATTCCACGAGCTCCCCCTCCCCCCAGTGTAGCCCATGTAGCTTGTGGAGAAGGGAGACGCAGAGAGAACCCCGGGGGGAGGGCCCCACCACCACCACCACCACCACCACCAGCCCAGAAATGTCGCACACCCCAACCGAGACCCTCTGCCCCGGGTCTGCGAGTGTTCAAGCCAAGGGGTCCCCAACCCCTGGCATCATGACCTCGCCGTGTGCGCGGGGGAGCCGGCGAGAGCGCAGCCTGACCCCTACCTCCACTAACCCCTGTCTTCTCCTTTCAGCGGTCGGATTCATTATAAGGATATGTACAGTTTATTGCGCGTGATATCTCCCCCTCTCGGCTTAGGCAAGAAATGTCCTCATAGGGTTGCTTGCAAGGTTTGATTTCCACTAAAACCTGCTAGCATCCATGGAATGAGTGTGGCTTGGGGTTCTTCAATATATATATTTCATATATATATATATCTCTAAAAAACAGAGCCATCTCTCTTTCTTGCATTAAACTAGAAAATTCTTAGCCAACAGAATGCAGTCACGTAGACTCGATGAAGCATGGAACATACCTCTCCGTTCCCTTCGGCCATTTCTGCTTGCTGTTAGCTGAAGCTGCCCATCCCAGGGTCTCAACGGCACCCCAAATCAGACACATCCGGGGGGGTCGGAAGTGTGCATCGACCCCCCCCCTCACCTCCCCTCTCTCCCCCCTCCACCCTTCGCCTGCCCAGGCCCCCAGCCCTCCTCCCGCCGCCCCAGCGCCCCCCTCCCCGTCTAGGCCCCCTCAGAGACCAGCCTCAGCCAAACCAGAGAACTTGCACCCGATTTTTAAAATAACACTGAGCCAAAGCGTTGTTCCAGGCGCTCCAAAACGAGAACCGCCCCCTCTCCTCCACGCCCCACCAGAACCATAGCTCAGAGTCAAAACTGAATCTGACTTTTCTCTTTTCTCTTTGTCTCTCCCTGCTCGTGAGCAGTGAAATAATCTTTTTTTTTTTAATTCCCTCCTCTTCCATTTTTTTTTTCTCCTGTTTTCCCTTGATTTGAAATACCTATTTTATCGTTCTCTGCATCTTTCTCTCTCTATTTTTTCGGCTCGTGTGGCTTTTTTGTTTGTTTGGTTTTTGGTTTTTTTGTTTTTGGTTTGGTTCCTGCTTTCGTTTGGTTTTTTTTTTTTTTGGTTTTTTTTTTTTGGTTTTTTGTTTTGTTTTGTTTTGTTTTGTTTTGTTTTGTTTTCGGTTCCTTCCTCTCCCCCCCACCCCACCCCTCCCTTTGGTTCTCCGTTCCCACCCCGTTTTGTTTTCGGTGCTGCTAGGGGCCGCATGCCTTACCCGGACATGTATCAGATGCTGAGACACATGTCTCCGCCCCTGGGTCTGGGGAAGAAGTGTCCGGCCAGAGTGGCTTACAAGGTAGTCTACCCTTGCCGACCACTAGCGTCGGGCACTGGGGATTTTTCAGTGCTGACCAGGAACGACCAGCCGAGTTTCTTCTTCCCGAGTTACTCTTCTTCTTTTTTTCCTTTTCTTTTTCTTTTTTTCTCCCCCTTTCCTCCTCGAGTAAATGGATCATGACCGTCCCTTTGACTCTAAGCAGCACACTGTGTCCGTCTTTTCTGATGAGTGTGGTTTGGTGTTTTGAGACTCCATTATGGCCGACACGCCGGGGGGAGGGGGAGGGGAGCCCCCCGGTCCCCTCGCACCTGGTCCCCTGGGAACCAAATTGGACACAAACATGCTTCGGAGGGAACACCGCCTCGCCTCCTTTCTGCCCACCCAGAGCGGCCCCCCCCCACGCCCAGGCCAGGGCAGGTGCCTCGCAGCAGGGGGCTTTGGCCCCAACAAGGCGAGGCCCTGCCCCCCCCCATCTTTTGTGTCTCGAGCCCCCAGGTCCAGCAGCCCCTCCCCCCCCACCACGTACACCTGAAGCTGATCTCTGACCTAGGGCCTTGGGGGATTCAAGACCTCCCGAGGAGTACCCAGAGCCTCTCCTCCCTCCACCTCCCCCCCCCCCCCCAGAATTGCTTCCCAAGCCCCCATCCCTATGCCACCCATCCTCCCCTAGACACCCCAACATGCCTCTCCATTGTTCCAGAGTGGGCAGGCAGGCCGCAGCTGGACCCCTGGACCGTGGCACCCTGATGCAGGCCATGCACGCTGCCTTGGCGGGGGCCTGGGGCGGGCAGGCACCATGGCCGATCGGGGGATGGTGCATGTTGGCTGAGGGAGCAAGGGTCCCGCCGCCAGGCGGCTGGGCCGGGCCGCCCCTCCGGACCCCTGTCCCGGAATCTCCCTTGGCACCCAAGGACAGACGCTCTGTTCCCTCCAGCTCATCCACCAGAAGTTCAGGGATGACCTTTAAAATTGCCTACCGCCTCCCAGAAAATGACCCCGTCATCTACCCCGGCCCACCTTGTGTCTGCGAGAGTCCTCCCCCCCCTTCTGCTAGTGCCATCCCTTCCTGCCTCTCTAACATCTCACTGCAGCCTCTTCCCTCCTCCTCCTCCTTCCCGATCAAGGCTGGAAAGGGGCTGCCCCCTGCCCCCCCCCCCCCGCCCCGTGCCTCTCCCTCCTCTCGCTTTCCTGGTGTCCCTTCTCTTGGTGTTTAGCTGTGTGCATGTGTGTGAGAGAGAGAGAGAGAGAGAGAGGCGGTCCCCTTCGCTTCCTGGGCTCTGTGCAGGGCCACCAGGAGTCCATAAGGCACCTTTGTGCAACTCTGAAAAGGACACCCTTTCCACAGAACATTTGGTCTGTTGGAAAATGGTTGTAATCCACCCACGTGGTAAGAACAGGAAACTTCTCTGTCATCGCCTGAGAAGTTGCCATTCAAATACACAAATGCGTGACTTCTAAGTCGGTGAGCCTTTTGTGCAGTGCACAACCTGCAGTTGTGTGTGTGTCTGCGGCTACCACCTCCCTCCCCGCCTCCCCGCCCCAGTCCCTCTCCCCGTCTCCAGCTCTGTGTTTCCCGCCGACCTGCGTCTGAATCCCCCCCCCTCCCTCCCCCCCCAACCCCCATTTCCATGCCACCTCAGCCTGGGCTGGTGCCCACCGGTCCAGCATCCTCTCCTATATCACCAAGCACGGGGGACAGAGCCCCTGCTTGGGACATGGGGAGCCCTTTCTTCCCCAGGCCGCGGGAATGCCCCCTCACCCCTTCCCCTTGCCATCACACAGAGCCAAGATCCGGACATGCCCCTGAGATACACTTTCCACGGAGCTATGAATGAGTCTCGAGATTCCGTCTGCATGCGCGCCCCTGTCTGCCGTTCTGTGTGTCTGTGCCTCGCTGCATGTCCGCGAGGGGCCGCCCCGTCCGCGGGGGGGCCGCCTGCCTGCTGCTTCTCAGAGGAATGATGTGGTCTGTGCCCATCTGGTCTGGTCTGGGCCGAGCCGGGGGCGGGGGGGGGGGGGGGGGGGGGGGGAGCCGGCGGCCCCCCCGGCGGCTGTGGCCGTGGACCCCTGTGCCTGGCTGCTGCACGTGCTGCTGAGATCCGGCTTGCTCTCTTCTTTGGGGTCGGAACGGAAGGGAGTCGTCCAGAAGAACTCTGGGGCGGGGCGAGGGGCGGGGGGGGGGGGTCTGGGCCAACCTGGGGACATGCCAGCTCTCGCGTCCGGCGTGCGGGAGAGGGAAGGGCGGGGGCTCCTGGTGCAGCCGAGCCCCAGAGCCCTCCCCACGGGCCACAAAGGGGAATCGGTAAACGGAGCCCTGGAGACCGGTAGCCTGAGGGTGGGGTCGCCTCAGCCACTGCCTTCAGAGTTCTTCCTGGGGCTCCCCAGGTAGTGTGGGTCTGGCTCACGGGGGACCGGGAGGGGTACCTGGGAATGACTGCCCTCGCCTTTGGTCTTCTGTAGAGGCTCCTTCGCATGGATCTGCCCGTGGCCGATGACAACACTGTCCACTTCAATTCTACCCTCATGGCCCTGATCCGCACAGCCCTGGACATCAAGATCGCCAAGGGTAAGGGCAGGGACGGGAGCAGGGAGGTGGGACCGGATGGAACTGGGGCCTGGAAGGGGAGAGAGCAGCGGACAGCCGGGGATCCTACTCCCCGCCTGAAACCAGAGGAGCCACTGGCCCGTCCCGGTCTCCACTCACTCACCCACTCAGCCGGCACACGTCTCGTGCACGCTTCCTGTGTGCCGGCCAGTGCTATATGCGGAGGGGGGGACGTGGCAGTTCACGCTTCCAGTGGGAGAGGCTTCCCTGAGGAGGTTCTCAAGGAGTCATGTGGACACGTGGGGAGAAAGTGCCCCAGCAGGGGCCAAAGCCCTGAGGTAGGAGGCCGCCCGTGGCCGTGCTGAACTGCCTTGCCCTCTGAGCGAGGGGGGTGCCGGCAGCCTCCAAAGCAGAGGAGTCACCTGACCTGACTCACACTTGAACAGGCTCCCTCTGGCCGCAGGGCAGAACGGACCGGGAGGAGGTCAGCGTGGAGGCCACTGACCCAAAAATGATCCCAGTGAAAGCAGGATGGCTGCCTAGACTCGGGGGGTGTGGAGTGTTCAGAGTCCGGCCGTGTCCTGGGAGCTGGCCCACGCCATGGCCGATGCAAGGCGTGGGGCAGAGAGAGGAGTCAAGGCCACCCCCCAGGGGCGAGGGCCTGAGCAGCCGAAGGACAGAGCCGCGGCTGTCCGAGACGAGGAAAAGGTGGGAGGGGCAGGTTTGGGGCGAAGGAAGGGCAGGAGGTCGGTGTCGGCCTGGAGACAAGGTGCGGGCAGGGGTCTCTCCCGCGGATGCTTCTGGTGGGGAACGCCTCCCCAGGAAGGTTCTGAAGGCGAGGTTAATGCGTCTTCCCGGCTGGGCTGGAGATACAAAGTCAGGAGGCATCAGATGCCGACACATCTTAAGCCAGGGGACTGGACAAGCTCGGCAAGGAGATAAGTGTGAACCGAGAGGCCCCAAGGACAGCCCAGGGCCACCGCAGTGTTAGAGGTGACCAGGGAAGGGGCGACTGGGGAGGAGATGAAGGCCGGGCCAGCGTGGGCCCCCGAAGGGTGTCTCCGGCACGTCCGTTCCTGCCCAACAGCCAAGGAAGACAAGGACCCAGAGCGAGCAGTGGCGGAGGGGGTCAGAGCCCCCCTGCCTTGGAACGGGGTCTAGAGGCCTGGCAGGAGACCGGATGTGACTTGGCAGCTGATGGGACAGTGGGGCAGAGAGAGAGGTGCGCCGGTCGCCAGGGAGAGGGAGTGTGGGAAGGGGGGGCGGGCAGATCGATGACCGTGTCGTCCAGCAGAGGGCCGGAAGCTGGGGGGCTAAAGAGAAAGGTCAGGGCTCCACCAGCTGAAGCCACCGGGAGTTCCATCCAGGGTCCCCAGGGGAGGGAGACCCGGGGCCGGAGGGAGAGCAGGTTGAGGACGGACAAAGTTAGGGCCAGGAAGCATGCTGGCGAAGGTACAAAAGCAGAAGGAGCCCCCGGAGAGAGCGAGAAAGATCGGAAAGGGCCAAGATGAGGCTCAGGGGACAGCAGAAGGGGGGGGTGGTGGGGCCATCCCCCTGGAAGTCCTGTCTCCTGCAGGAAGTCGGAGGTGAGCGGCTCATGCTTACGGGGCAGCTCCGTGCACGATGGGAGTCCGGGCCCGGTTTCTGGCTGTTCGTGGCTCTGTGCCCCCAGGACTGTTTCCCCATCGTTGGGGTGGAAGCTGGTCCAGGTCCCAGCCCAGGGAGGGGAGGGAGCACAGGGGTGGGTGGCAGTTTTCTGGGTGAGAAATCGGGTGAGAGGGTCGTGTTCTGTGGCCTCATCTCGCCCACCTGCCCCGTCCGCGCCGTAAACCTGGGCAGGTGAGGCCACCCTCCCCGAGCCTCCGGCCGTGTATTCGCCGGCGTAAACGGAACGGCTTAAAACATCTGCTGTTTAGCTCTCGGTTCTGTAGGTCAGAGGCCTGGGAGGACTCAAATGGGTTAGTGTGACCCATTTGAGGGTCCCCCCCAGGGCCAAAATCTCGCTGTTGGCCGGGCTGGGCTCTTCTCAGAAAGCTCTGGGGTGGGGGAGGGAGAATGCACTTCCAAACTCATTCAGGTCTTGGCAGAATTCAGTCCCTTGTGGCTGTAGGACGGAGGTCCTGTTTCTTCGCTGGGATTTAGCCAGAGGTTACGCTGAGTGCCCGGGGACGCATCTGATCTTTCGTGCCCGCCACATCTCTCTGACTTCTGCCGCCAGCCAGAGAGAACACTCGGCTTTTCGGCGTCTCGCCTGATTAGGTCAGGCCCACCCAGATCAGCTCCGTGTCTGACAGTCAGCCGACTCAGGACTTTAATTACTTTTGCAGAGCCCTTTCACAGCAGTCCCCTAGACTAGCGTTGGATTGGACAGCCAGAATCTTAGGACAGGAGGCAGGGGCGGCTTTAGAATTTGGCCTGCCTTGGTTCCCTCACCTGTAAAACGGGTCTAACAGCACACCCACTCTTGGTACGTGATGCTTTGGTGGCCTGGCTGCTGTTTCTTTCTGGGGAACCTGTTCAGGGGTCCCAAGGGAACCCCCGACTCGGGTTCAGTAATTGACTAGAAAGACTGAGAACTGAGAGGCACTGTTTGACTCACGGTCGCAGTTTATTACAGCAGAAGGACACAGGTTAAAATCCGCAGAGGAGGGGCGCCTGGGAGGCTCAGTTGGTTGGATGGCTGACTCTTGATTTCGGCTCAGGGCATGATCTCACGGTTGTGGGATCGAGCCCCACGTTGGGATCCCTGCTGAGCATGGTTCCCTCTCTCTCTCTCTCTCTCTCTCTCTCTCTCTCTCTCTCAAAAAATAAATAAGTAGAATTTAAAAATAAAAAAAAGAAATGTGCAAAGCAGAGGCACATGGGTCAGGGTCCCCTGCTGGTGGAGTTACGCGGGCAGCACCCGGAAGTCGGCTCCCGGTGTCCCCACGACTGCGTGTGACGGTGCGATTCTACCGACGAGGGAAGCCCGCCCGAGCGTCGGTGACCAGAGTGTCCCTTGGGGGTTGCTCGCGTAGGCCTGACCGGCCTTAGCTACTCAGACCCCAGCCACTCCAGAGGTCACACTAATGATGTCACATGGCCCAGACCCCCCTCCCCCCCCCCCCGCCATAAATCACACTGTTAGAATAAACCATCTTGAGCGGCCCAAGGCCCTCAGATAAACAAAGAGGTTTTTATCACACAGGACACTTTAGAAAGTGACCTCCCAGGAGGCGGCCAGGGACCAGTCCTTTCTTCCGGAATGTGCCGAGTTATCCTTTACCACGGGGACACCTTCTGTGGAACCCCAGTAAGGCCAGTCGTTGGGACATCTGCCAGATTCCCCACGTGAGGATTTCAGGGGCTCCTGGGAATGTGCCTGAGTTTGGCTGTCACTCGTACTCCAGATGCTACTCGGTTCCCAGAGGGTCACGCCCTCAACATCTCTGAGCCAAGGGCCTCTCCTTGGTCCTGACGTTGACAAAGGCACCAGCCCCCCCCCCCCCCAGAGTTCCACGGGGCACAGCTGAGCCCATCTCTGGGGTTAAGGAAGGTCGGCTGAGTGCGTGGGGACAACAGTTACAACAGTGATGACAATCACAGCCATTTCAGCTGAGAGTCTCAGGCAGGCTCAAAGTATAACACCTTTTTTTTCTTTTTTCCCAACAGCTCAGTTTACTTCTAGACACACTGAGCGCCTGTCCAGCAGGCAGGGGACAGCATGTGGGAACAGATTAACCTCTGTCATTCTCCAGATCTCCCCAAAGTGGGAGGCCATTCTTAGCTAGATGCTTGGGAGAGAGGACACAAGTCCCTCGGCTCACCCCTGTGTCCCCTTTATGTCTGTGCCCCTCCCTCCTCTGTCTGTCTGTCCCTCCCCCGCCACCCCACCCCTCTGCTCTCTCCGCCCAGGAGCGTCTCATCCTTATACGGGGAAAGTCCTTCTCTCTTCAAGTTTCTTTTGTTCCTGGATGTTGTGTCTGAACTCCTGAATCCTCCTTCCAAGGGACTCAGTCTGTGTCCCTTTGTTGCCCCCCTGCCCTCCTGCTGCCCGCAGCCAGCCGAAGAGGGCAGGGCCGACCACCTGCCTGAACAAACATAAACCCAGTTAGCAGATCAAAACCCCCAGCCGAACACTAACACTCTGACTTCCGCTGAGCGGAAAGCGAGAGCTTTACTTTTTTTTTTTAATGTTTATTTATTTACTTTGAAAGAGCGAGAGCTCGAGCAGGAGAAAGGGAGGGGCAGAGAGAGAGAGAGAGAGAGAGAGACAGAAAATCCCAACCAAGCTCTGCGCTGTGAGCATGGACGTGGGGCTCGAACTCGCGAACCATGAGATCGTGACCTGAAATTAAGAGTCAGACGCTGAACTGACTGAGCCACCCAGGCGCACCCAGCGAGAGCTTTATAAACACGGAGTCACCTGTGTGCTGCAGCCCGGTCACTGGAAGGGTTGGGGGCAGGGCGAGGGGAGGGGTCGCATGGGGAAAAGATAAGCCCAGAGCCAACTAGTAGCCGACACGACACGCAGGGTGACCTCAGCTTCCTAAAAACAGGAACGCTTTCTGCCATCGTCTTAGAAAGGGCCACAGTCCCGGCTAACCCCACCCAGGGCCAGCCCGGACTCTTGTTCAAGACTGCGCGTAGCTGGCCAGCCAAAAGGCCACCGTCCCACCCTTTAATCCCCCCGAAGACCAGACTCTCTCTGAAGGTGGGGTCCGCCATAACCTGGAAGGTTCTGGGGTGGGCCTCGTGGGAGCTAAAAGGCTTTGCCTTGCCCGCACCAGAGAGGGTGGCCTCCTGGCCTCTTGTTGCCTGCCTGAAACTGATGGCTGTTGGCCATGGCTCGTTGAATGAGAGCGTTCATCGAGTGCCTGCTGTGTGCCCAGCCCCGTCGCCGATATGTGGGACACGGCAGTGAAAGACCAGTGAACCTCCAACCCTCACGGGACTGCAGGGAAACAGGCGATGAACAACAAGCACGACGAGTCCGCGGAGCGTGTAATGTGTCGGAAGGTTGGAACTCTGCGGAAAGGCTAGAGCAGGGTCGGCGGCTGGGGAGTCTCTCAACCGGGGGCCGTCTGCCCCCAAGGGACGTTGGCAATGTCCGGACACGTTTCTAGTTGTCACACTGAGACGAGGGACCGCCTCTCTGAGGCCAAAGTCCTGCGGAATGAGCCGGGGGAGGGGAGGACCCTGGGGCAGGACACTCCGATCACACCTGGTTTGGGGGTGACTGTTGCTCCTGCCCCTGCCCCCCCCCCCCGTAGTAATCGTGTACCTGGAGGAAGAATAAGTCCGAGCCTCAGCCCTCAGGGAACCCCAGGACCTCAGCGGGAGGCCACCTTGAAATCACCCGGACATTTCCCTTCATTCAATGCGACTGACAATCTTACAATCTTGGATGTGATTGAAGGTGGTGGTTCTCGGGTGGGGGGGTGGGGGGGCAGTCTTGTCCCCCAGGGGACACTTGGCAA